ATCTATGCATGTGTTTATCCATGAGGTGCATTTGTTACAGGCAGCAAATAGAAGGTTTCTGATTCTGATTATTATTATTATTAATCCAATAACCTGTGTCTTTTGACTGCAGAATTTAATCCATTAACATTCAACATTATCAATATTTGCAGATTTATCCCTGCCAATTCTTTGGCCATTTTCTTTTTTTATTATTATTTCTGTCTTTCTTTAGTTTTCCTGATAGAGTACTCCCTTCAGTACATCTTGAAGAGGTGGTCTAGTATTGGTGAATTCTTTCAGTTTTTATCTGTCTGAGAACAATTTTATTCATTCTTTCCATTTGAAGGACAATCTTGCTGGTGTAGTATTCTTGGTTGAAAGTGGTTTTTCTTAGTCTTTTAAATATGTCTTCCCATTTTCTATTAATCTAATAGAATAACCTTTGTAAATGACATTTCTCTCTTGCCATTTTTTTAATCTCTGTGATTTTACTAATTTGGCTATGATATGCCATGCTATGGAGAGGATCTTATATTGATTCTATTTGGGGTCATTTGTTTTTCTTGGGTCTGGATGTCTGAATGGTTCTATAGTTTTGGGAAGTTTTCTCCAAGTTTTACATGGAATAGCTCTTCTATGCCCTTAGATTGTTCACCTTATGGACTACATATTATTTGGATATTTGGGCATTTAAAAGTGTCTAGTATTTCCCATATGTTGTCCTCATTTTTTAAAATTATTTTTTATTATTTTTGGTGTTTTTTACCTAAGTCAAAAGTTTTGCCTTTGAGCTCTGAAATTCTGTCTTCTGCATGGTCCGATCTGCTATTAATTCTGTCAAGGGAAGTCTTAATTTATTGTCTTCATCTCTAGAGGTTGATTCTTTTTTATGGTGTCTATCTCCTCCTTCAAATCTTGGAAAGACTTCATCTCTGTCATTATGAATATTCTGAATTCTTTCCTGACATTCCTGTCTTTTTGTGCAGTCTATGGTTGAAAAGAATTGCTCTGTTCCATTGAGGGAGGTGTTTCCTTGTTTTCCCATATTTCTTGTGCCTCTGCACTGGTTTCTAGTCGTTTGATGAATTATATACACTTCCTACTTTTCTGGCGTCTGTAGTAATCAGGGGTGGGGTTGGGGAGAAGAGTTCTACTTGTCAGACGTGTCTCAGGTAGAGGACCATTTCCCAATCAGAAAAGAATGTGTATATAGCCAGCTTTAGGTGTTGGTTCCTTTCCCAGTGTCTTGGGACCAGGTTCACCTGGGGCTGAGGCAGTGGGAAGGCAGTGGGTGGTCTGAAGCAGTCTTCCTGCCTCCTTTGTCTCACTGACTGCTGCTGCTCCCTGCTCTTGTGGCTGCAGGCTCAGGGAATTAATTGGTATCTGTTTTAATAAAAAACTGTTTTGACTTAACATGAAGTAAACATTGATAGTCTAGAAAGATATGCCACATTCCTCATTTATCCCTGGCATACTGCTAGCAATCTTTATTTGGGACAAATCAATGTTAGGTCTGGACAAATAACCATGAAAGTCAACTGAAACGATCTGCTTCTAATTAATTTTAAGGTTCAACATAAAATATCATGTTATCATACAAAATAATCCATTTGATTTTATCAATCAAAATGGCTTTTATGGGAACCAGCAGTTAGCGTAATGGCTGTCGCTGGACTCCCAGGTAGTCGACCGCGGTTTGCGTCCCAGACCTGGTGGCTTAAAACTCACGCCGGGCGCATGTGCGTGCATGCCCAAGATCCCAAGAAGAGAATGGAGAAGGGATTGTGGCATGACCATTCCCCCTGGGGGGTGATTTCTCGCTTTCTGTCTCTGTCTCTCTCTGTCTGGCAAGCACACGCGCCCTATAGCAAAAACCTCTCAAGAAAAAAAAAAAAAAAAGAGAAAATGGTTTTTATGTGTTTTATATTTTACACAAAAAACAAAACCTTACTGGTTAGGCCAGTTTTCAGTTTTGAATCAGTTTTGGTCTAATAATAGTACTAACAATAGTGAATAGTTCCTAATAAATATAAGTGTAAGCTATTTGATCATCAGAATGGTTTCTCAAAATAATTGCTTTTTAAACTTTGTTTCTTATTTTATTTCTATGTATTGCAACTAGTGAACAGGGAAGATACTCTGTAAGTGAAATACTTGTCACTTCCCTAGCTTGTCCTTAATCTGCTTATGTTTATGGGCCTATTTTTCTGACTTCACAATTTATTAATAGTTCACCAATGTGCATAGCCTAAATTACTTCCTTGTTCAATTTTTTCTTTAATTTTATTTTTTGTTATTATTTTTATTAACCAGAGAGAGACAGACAGAGAGAGAGAAAGTGAGAAAGCAAGATGCCATGTCCAGAACTCGAAACACAGTCAGCCATGTAGGAATCTAGTGCCACAACCATCACACCACCTGCTAGCCCCCTACTTTTTCTTTTAATAATTTCTATTTGTGATAAATCACCAATCTTTCTAGAAGTAATTATGGGGAAATGAAGGAAAGATTCATTCTTATTCAGATTGAAGTCATGAAGAAAATGAACTCAACCCACAAAAAGTGACTTTTCATTGACATCAGCTATATTTTCATTCAAACTAATCTCAATTTTCCCCTCCCCAATGGTCACATTTATTACTCTTTTAACTACAGATGTGAGATGTTTTCCTTTCACTAACTCTACAAAATTACTTGAAATATCCATTTAAATTTTATGAAAATATAACTTACAATCTAACTACTACAATTTCTCCTGAGAATTCTAAATTCTTTCAGTCAAAAAAATATTTATTAAATACTATTAGCAAGGCATTTTTGTAGGTAATTGTATATTAGAAATATAAAGATATGTGAGCTTTTGCGTAAAAAAAATGATGACTATATAGTAATTTCCAATACAGGAGACAAAAGTATTGGCGGATCCAACTCCTTCAAGCATTTACTTTCAACTACATATAATCACATTCTTAGAATTAAACCATGTTCTCTGGCAAACATAATTTTAATTATCATATAATCTATGAAAAGATAATATGGAACATTACTTCAAAAAAAACTAAGTCCTAGATGTGAAAAAATACATATTAAAAAAAGCAGTACCCAAAACATCAAACATATGTAATTCAAAAATTATAAAATATATAATTAAAAGTAGATTCTAATGAAAATCTTGCGTGGAACAAAAGTATACCCACTAATGTATTAAATGTAAATGCATTTTAATTAAGAATGTAATTATTTAAAAGCACAAAACTTATAAAAAAAACACTGCTCATTAAATGATCAAAAAAGGTCTTTTCCATAGAATTTTGAATTTATTAAGAACAAGATAGAATTTTATAAAAAGATAAATCAAAACTTCCTAGGGAAGAAGAGGTTAGATCAGAGCAAACTAAAAAATTTTGAATAAAATAACTGAAAAGTCATAGGAGGAAAAAGAACCTGGGTCCTTAATTTATCATACAATGGTGTACACTCTTTTTTTAAAAGATATTTTTAAGAGCTAGTACTTTTGTGGTTTTATAAGGAAATAAATATTAAGTACAATTATTTTGAAAAATATCTCCATTTTACCTCTTTAGTAGTATGGTAATGTTTTGCCCTTAAAAAATTCCCTTCAAGTAATCCCTTCCTAAATATATTAAAATGAAAGCCATAGGCAAATTAGTGTCATTAATCATCAGTTCTATTTTTTAAACTTTAGTTAAAACTAATCAATTGCTTTACTTTTCTTATAATTTTACTTCTCCATACTGTTACATTAGTTTATGTTTTTAAGTTGGCAGCTTTCATTTAGAATGCCATCTGAAAGAGTCATTTATAGTTTTCTGTTTAGAAAAAGAATTCAAAGTGGAGTGGATATTTTATAAGTTTTTAATTAATGAGTCACATTTTTAGCCCAAAGATTTTTCTGGTTGTACTTTCACAGAAAATACATATCAAAAAATTAACTTTGTGAATGAAAAACTGTTTTATTTTCAATGTGATTTTTAGTGTCATCTTAATAATGCTACTTTAGAATGCAGAATACACCCTTATATTTGGCTTTCTCTGAATAAAGAGAGATGCTTTAAAGTTAATTTGTTCATTACTGTAGAGGAACTCTACTTTATAAAGTTTCCCCAACATAAAACTGTTTTTGAAGCTGGATGCTCTTAATTTGAACACTTGACTTTTCTACTACATTGTTTCTGTGTAGAACAGAAACACTCTATTACCTATGCTAATGTACATAACTTAACCAAATACTGGAAATTTGCAAATCAGTTTGCTATCAAACATGCAGTCTAAAACATGTGCATTTTTTGACTACCATTTTCAATATGCTAAAATATTTAATCATTATTATTTGCACATTAAATGAAAAGTTAATTTTTAACAAAATTTTATTCAAAGCATTAGGAAAATTATACTCAAAACATAGAAATAATCAGACTATAACAATGCTGCATAGATAGTGGTATACAAGTTCCCTGATGCTAAGTTATTTTTAACTAACTAAAATTTGTATTTTCAAGTCATCAGGTAGAAAATGGTAGAGGCATTATTTCCTCTGAGGCTGAAAAAATGGCTTTCATGGTGAGATGTTAACACCACTTAAATAACAAAAATTGATTATATCCCAATTTAATTCTCTTCTCCTTTTGTTATTTCTCAAAGATGAAAATATCGAACATAAGAATTATTGGAAGAGAATAAAAAGTGAACTACTTCTTAGGAAATACCCTGATCAGTGCCTGCTTTTAATCAGAAAAAAACACTGAATTAAGTTTTAAAAACTATAACCATACCATTATGCTAACTAAAATTAGCAATATGAATACATAATATGCTACAAGTATACAAGAAAAAAATGGCCTGTTTCTATCTTTTGACCTTCAATAGAAAAACATGTTATTATTAATGGGGGTTTGAAAAATAATTTTCAAAGCACAGGATTAACTTTACAGAGATCAAAATATTTTCTGAAATCTTAGGCTGAATCAGTCAATAACAAGTTGATAAATTCTTTATAAGAGTATTTTTTGAAAGGAAAGACAATTTATCTGAAAGGAATTTGTAGCTGGAAACATTCTGTATTAAGAAAACCTTAAGTTACCCTGAGAAAGACTCTTAAAATTATCACGTTTATTGGAGGCCCCCACTGACACATGAAGGAGCAACCTACAGGCTAGTCTAGCTTTACAGTGAGCTACATAAAGAATGTTTTTTGATTAAAAAAGTAACTGGGCTTCTTTGTTATACTGGCAAAAGGTCACAATCCAAGAACTCTGAATGTGATGGAGTATAAGTAAATTTTATGTTCACTCCAGGTAGAATTTTTCCATTCTTAATAAGAAAGAATGTGTAGTTCTCCTGATGGTCTCAGACTAAAAACTCACTGTTCACAAAAAGAATCCTCTGTAAGTAAACTAGTAGTTTTCTTAAAATAGTAAAGAAATTTGTCTATTTTACATTCGCTAATCTATGCCTAGAAAATAAGGCATCAGTAATTCTTCATTGGCCATTGCACAGCATAGAAAACTGTTTTCTTTCTAAACGGAAGCAAACATTCCCGAAAGTGCATTGTTATTTTTACCATCTTTTATGCATGTACATAGAGTCAGCATGTATGACTCCTTACATATTTTTAGTATAAAATAATGCTTATTTCCAATACCTTACACACACCATAATAACTTGATAAAAGAGTGAGAGCAGCTACAGAAGTAGCAAGATGTTTTCCACAAATAAAAATACAGCATACAAAAAATGGCTAGTGATAAATGGTAGCATGAACTTCAATAAGATCTTCCTTTGATGTCCAAATTAAGATTTGACAAGTTTGAAGCCTTGTCCTGTGTCCAGCACAGTAGGAAGAAACCAACTCATTTTTAACCTTTTTAAGCACCTAAAACAAGTTTTGCAGATCCAAAAGAGGTTCAGCCCACATAACCAATTGGCCAAATGTACTAGAGGATATGTAATACGAGGAAAGTGTAACATCCAGTGCTTGGCCACATCACTTCCTGTTGGCAAATGCAGAGTGTAGTCACTCCACCTTTTTGACACACCATATACTGCTTTCACTGTGCGCCCCTTTTCAGTCCAACAGATGTTATGACTGGAGTTGCAGTTATACTCCACCCAGTCTTTTGTAAAGTCACCCAGCTGTGGTGGGTCAGCTTCTTCGATATCTATTGTCTTTGTCATCTCTGCTCCTTGCACTGCAATATACTGATCATTGATTTTTCTCACTTCTTTCACCCAAGGGGTTGAATTCTCACTGTCTAATACAATGATAAGCCGGGAACAGAAGGAACCATTCTTTTCTCTCCACCATTCTAAAAGTGTGTCAAGGCGTAGTATGTCTCCACCTATGAACAAGAGAAAATTAAATAGAGCAATAATTTCTGAAGCCACTCATTAAAAACACTCTCAGATGTATTTTCTTTAAATTCTTATAATATATGAACAAAAAAAAAGATGAAAGTATCTGACACATAATTTTTAAAATCTCTTCATAAAATATTACTTAAAGGAATGTGCTATGATAAATTAAGAAAATTATTTTATATTGCCAAATGCAGTGAAAAATTTTAAATTATACAACAGAGTTAATATTCTGTATCAGGGCAGTAAACTATGGCTTACGGGCCAAAGCCAGGCTGCCACTTGCTTTTGTATGGTCTAAGAGCTAAGAAGTGATTTTATATTTTTACATGGGTGTAAAAAAACAAAAGAATTTTTTTTGACATGTAAAAACAATAAGAAACTTAAATTTCACATTTTTTTCATAAAACAACACTTTACTGAAACACAACCATACTCATTCATTTACATTTTGTTTATTGCTGCTTTAACCCTGCAGCAGCAGGCTAGGTTGAGAGGAGGGCTGAGTGCATTGTAACACGAATCATAAGGCCCATAAACCCCAAAATATCCAGCCCTTTCCAGAAAACATTTGCTGATCCCTTCTCTAAATCATTGGTAAATCACTATTTTCTATCCTCATATGTGGTATCCACTAAATGTAACACACACACACACACACACACACATAAAACAAAAGAATGAGTTTAAGAATGGATTTATAGAGACCAGCAGATGGTGTAATGGTTACTTCATTGAACTCTCACGTAGTTGATCACAGTTTGAGTCCCACACCTGGAGGCTTAAAACTCCATGAGGACCAGCAGTTGGCGTAATGGTTATGTCACTGGACTCCCATGTAGCTGACTGTGGTTTGAGTCCCAGACCTGGTGACTTAAACTCATACTGGGCGCATGTGTACGCATGCCCAAGATCCCAAGAGAATGAAGAGACTGTGGCGTGGCCACCCCCCTGGGGGGATGATTTCTTGCTTTATGTCTCTCTCTGTCTTTCTGAAGAGCATATGCACCCTATAGCAAAAACTTCTCCAAGAAAAACCTCACTCCAGGCACATGTGCATGCGTGCCTAAAATCCCAAGAGGAGAATAAAGGAGATTGCAGCTGACCATCCTCCAGGCAGATAATTTCTCACTTTCTGTCTCTTTGTCTCTAGCAAGCACACATGCCCTATAACAAAAAAAATTTCTCGGGAACCAGCAGTTAGCATAATGGCTATGTCATGGACTCCCACATAGTCGACCGTGGTTCACGTCCTGGACCCGGTGGCTTAAAACTCACGCCGGGCGCGTGTGCGTGCGTGCCCAAGATCCCGAGAGGAAAATGGAGAAGAAGGGATTGCGGCGTGACCATCCCCCCGGGGGGTGATTTCTCGCTTTCTGTCTCTATGTCTCTCTCTGTCTGGCGAGCGCACGCGCCCCATAGTGAAAACTCTCAAAAAAAAAAAAAAATCTCTCTAAAAATAAATAAATAAATAAATAATTTATATTCAATTATTGGGTTGTCAGGAAAGTCATGATGCATTTTTGCATAGAAAACTATGCCATGACTTTCCTCAACCTAATACATTTTATACCTAAAGAACAAGCAAGGATTTAAAAAAAAAGAATCCAGAATGGTCTACAGCATATAAAATTTTAATGCAGAAACCTGTCTCAGAGTTAACAAGTTTTAGACCTAATACATTGTAGGGGCTTTTTGCACTAATTCTGATTTTTAAGTAAATTTCATTGAAATATTATTTATCTTAATTGCTTTGGCTCTCCCTTAAATTGTATGCCTAAGGCCACTGCTGCCCTCACCTCACCTTGGTTCTGGGCCTGATTCAATGGTATAATCATTCCAATTCTAAGAAATTTTGAACAGAGGTGGAACAAAAAATTATGATAAAGATCATCTTCCCACTGTTACCTAGGGTAGTGAAAAATCTGGAAAAGGAAAGGAAATAAATGATGGTATAAGCTTAGGAGGAAATTTTATAATAAAATATTTATAAAGAAAGTTTAATTGTGAAGAAAATGTCTACGATTTTAGGAGAGAGAGCAAGATGCAGAACTGTATCTACAAAAATGACTGCAGCAGCTATTGCTGGGTGTCTGGTTTTCAGGTAGTTTTAAAAATACTTTTTTTATTTTCTAAATTTCTTATATTGAGCATATGTTATTTTCATAAATAGAAAAGGTCTTAGTATGCTCCAATTTACTAGCACAAGATTCAAAAATCTCTAGAATACACATTTCTACCAAGAGCAATGATCTCTGTCAAACCACGAAGCTGATATTACAGATATAGAGAATCCTTTAGAATTTGGGTTCTACTGGTAATATGAGCTCTGAAGCCAGGCTATATAACATCCTTTGTGTATAATTTTTTTTTCATCGGTCCACTATTATCTGAGACTCTGAAAATGAAAAACATGTTTTATGAATTTCTCTAATCCTCATGCGCATCATCTGACAGGCACTATTTCAATACATGGTCTCTACACAGCACAAATTTGTTGCTTTCCTGGTATCTTCATTAAATATTACTTTTTCAAAATGGCCTAATGTTAACTTTTCATTATTGTCAGCTCATTAAGCTACTCTAAAGATCAGAGGACTATGCAGATGAAAAGAGCTACTATCCAAATTCTAACCGCCAAAAAGCATCATTGCCTAACATGCCATCCACAACTGTTTTAATAAGTACTCTTTTGCATAGTCAACCCTAATTCTCTAATATAAATGCTCTTTAGATACCAACAGGAGGGATAACAAAGCATTAAAACCTTTGAAAGTATTTTTCTTCTCTTGTTTTGCTCTGATTTCTTGTATGAATAGGTTCTTTACTGCACTTGGCTTTTGGCCCGAACGCAAAGTACTTACATAAATTTATCTCAGATAACAGCTATCTGAAGCATTTGAAGTAATTGAGACTGCTTTTTAAAGGCTTTGTTTATCTGTGATAAACTGCTTTATAGATTATCTATATTTTTTCATTTATTTGTCTCTCTTGTAATTATCATAATTGTTTTTTTTGCCCTCAAGCAGAGACAAAAATATGAAATTCCATGTTATAAAACCCCACAAATGCAAGACGACTATAAATTCTAAGAATTATGAGTAAAGGTATGGGACAACAAGCAAATATTGACCTTTTTTCCCACAATGACATTTAGTTCTAGATCTGCTCTTAACATGCTAAATCAAGTAAATTTCAGTCACGATGTTTCGTATTTCAAAGGTTGTCAGGTAACTATTAATATATTAAAAGGGCTTAAAACTCTTTGTCTTTGGTTTCAAATAGATGAAAGCATATTCTTCTCAGTGCAGACCCCTTCAATACTATTTCTGAGGCAGAATCAGCTTTCAAGGGCTATGTCTAAGACAAGTCACGACATGAAATGTTTGAAAAAAAGGGCTTCTGAGACTGGTTCAACTTGGTTAACTGCAGGTGCCTCAGGCTGACAGAACGTAGTCGCTGACTTATGAAACAGAACCTATCTCTTCTTTGGGAAGTCAGTGTTGTGTCAAGCTGCTTTTCCTCTTTTTTTTTTTTTTTTTTAAGTTTTATAATAAACTCTGTGACAGAGTTATGCAAGAACAAATCATCCTGGCTAATAAAGGAATTCAATACTGGTCAATTTATTAATAGCATAATTCAGAAGTATATCTACCTAAAAATCTAACTGTATTTTAGAGCTTCAATTTTCATAAATTATTCTTAACACACACGAATAAAAATTTTAAAACACTCATTTATATACTACTTATATTACTTTCTTTTACCTTTCCTGAGAAAAGAAAAAGCTCATATAAATATTAATAAACTGAATGTCTAGAATTTATTTCTACGATAATATTTTAAAAATACTTGTGGCAGGACCAGCAGATGACATAATGGTTACATTGTTGGACCCCCACATGGTCGACAGTGATTTGAGTCCCAGACCCAGTGGCTTGAGATTTAGGCCCAGCATGTGTGTGAGCATGCCCAAAACTCCGAGAGAAGGGATTATGGTATGACCATCTCTCCTGGAGGGTAATTTTTTGCTTTTTATTTCTCTGTTTCTGTTTCTCTAGCAAGTGTATGGGCCCTATAGCAGAAATTTCTCTAAAAAAATCCAAAAATTTGAGGCTCAGCTGCCATGGTCTAGTCTGTAAAGCACCACTGTATAAAACTGAAGTAACATAGGAAGATCTTGGGTTCAGAGCTCAGGTCAACCTGAATATGCCATGTATGCCCCTGATCCTGGTTGGCTGGAAGGCTAGGGGCAATTACAGCCTGCTGACACTGTCAAAGGAATTTGTACTTGTCTCCTTTCTCATGAAATTTATGTTTTATTTTCTCATGAAAACAAACAAAAAAAAACCTTGAAACAAATTTTAATATCTAAGTTTTTTGAGAAATCTTTAAATTTGGTAATAAATCCTTCATGTAAACACACACAAAAGGCTTACTTTTAAAAACATGCCAGGTGCATTTGTATGCATGCCCAAAAAAATCCTGAAAGGAGAAATGGAGAAGGGATTGGAACATGAAAATCCCCCATTGAGGATGCTTTCTCACTTTCTCTCTCTCTGTTCTGCATGTGTGGCACCCTCTCAACAAACTCTCTCTTGTTAGTGTAAGCACTCTGCAGCAAAATTTAAAAATAAATAAATAATAAGGTAGGGAGATAGGCATGACCACCAAAATTATACCGTATTTTCCCATTTAATCTGGGGGAAGTTTATTATTATAAGCCTGACAGTAAGTTTTCCATAATCAGTCCATGCTTTTAGGTATGAAATTCTATTTCTATAAAGTTTTTTTGTGTGTTTCCGTTAGGGCACGTGATCTTGCCAGAGAAAAAGAGAGACAGAGACAGTGAGAGGGAAAGTGAGAAATCATCCCCCAAGGGAGGATGGCCATGCTGCAATCTCTTCTCCTCCATTCTCCTCCTGGGATTTTGCACCCATGCACATGCACCTGACATGAATTTCAAGCCATGGGGTCCAGGACTTGAACCATAGTTGGCCATGTGGGAGTCTAGTGATGCAACCACTACCCCATCTGCTGGCCCCTCTATGAAGATATTTTTTAATTGACCAGAATTATTTATTTTAGGCCCTAGGTTAGTGTACACAGAATGCTACACTATTCCTGGAACTTAAGTAGACATGAAGATTAAAAAACTATTTCTTATATTGTGGTTAAAAACTTAAAAGTCAAGTATGTTATTTTATGAAGTATGTTCAAGTTATGTTAGGGCATATTCTTCTTAAGCATTTTAACTGTTCTGAATATGGGTGATCTATGCTAATAAAATTATTTATTTAATCAGAACATGCAGTTTCTCTATCTTCATAG